CCGCCGCCGCCCAGCGCCCCGCGGCCGAGGTCTGGGCGGGCCCCGCTCCTCGGGACCCCGAGACCCGCCTCACGGGCACCCTGCTCCAAAATCTCCGCCAGGAACAGAGGGGGAAAGCGAGACCTTCCCAGTGCTCCGTCCTGGGCCGAGGGAAACCCGGTGATGTCATGGTCTCTGGAGAACAAAATTTGTTTGTTCTGTCTTTATCTTCTCCGGCCAGGGAGGAGGCAAGAGCAATATGTCACTGGGGTTTGTGACCCCGGCAGGACCAGCTAAAGGGCGCATCAGAGACGGCTCCATCTGCAAAGGGAGGACAGAGGGTGTGTGATCTTCTCTGTGAGCCGGCAGGATGACTTCACCGGGGCTCCAGCACACTGCAGCTGGAGCATGTTGGTGGATATCAAGGGATGCCATGCTCTGGCAGGACCAGAGCTGAATCCCCCCTGAACTTGCCCTGCCAGATGTGAGAAAGATGTGACTCAGTTTTTTTGGGAGTCCACTGGAGATAAATTAATGACAGAAACAGGTTCCAACAGAGGAATTTAGCCTGGGGGCAGCACTCAGCTCAGTCAGATCCTGTGGGCAGCAAAAGCTCAGAAGCAGTCAACGAACTTTGACTCTGGATCAAGCTAGGGTTTGGGGGAAGAGCCCCTTTGGTTCCCTGGGGGTACAGTCAATGCAGAGAGGGCCCCAGTGAGGTAAGTAAGAAAGGCTGGGGAGGAAGGGAACTGTGCAGAGCAACCCAGACTGGGAGATGTAAATGGGGTTCAGACTAATTGCCTTCCCACAAAGGAGCCCATCTCCAGAGTTGAACGGCTTGCAGAGACCTTCAAACAGAGCAGAAGGGCTGCGCTTTGAAGTTACTCAGAGGAGGAGGGTTATCTTGTACTCTTGTGCATATCCTACGCAGGCGGTTTCCCTTGATGTGTCTGGCATGGCCAACATAAATGTTCCTACACCCAACACAGTAGCAACCAGCTTACTTCACTGCTGTCTGGCAGCTCTGATCTCACCATCCACATAGACGCACTGCATCTCCACTCCCACCACATCCCCTGGCCATTGCTCTGGGAGAAGCACTCACATCCTCAGGCAGTTTCCACTCGACACCTGGCAACTGCAATCCACTCCCTTGTCTCCCAATGAAGGCTGACATGGTGGGAGTATCAGGCCAAAAGGAAGAGGCCAGCAAAGAGAAAGAGAAGCATGGCATAGAGTCACTGAACAGGCAAGGAAGCCTGGAATCCAATAGCGAGGATAGCAGAGCCACTGTCATCCTGACCCTCACCCTCTACAACGTGAGGAAGATTGAACTGTCTAAGGCAGTCAGAGTATTTGAGGTACAGACCTCACTATTCCCTTCCTCCAGTGACCCCTCTCGTCTGTATCTATTGCTTCCACCTCTCCCGCTCTGTACCTCACGCTCTCTCACCCTTCTTCTGCTCCCTGCCTGACTTACACCTTCACCTGCCTTCCTCTTTTCTCACTGTCCCTGTTTTGCTACAGCTGCTCAGAGAGCTTGGCTGGCCTCTCCAGGTGAAGAAGGAGAGTGCTCTGGAGGGAGGGAGCAGCTGGACACAGTCATTTAGAAGAATCATCATTTTATGTAAGCCTGTTTAGAGCAGATACTAATCTATTATTTCTTTCTAGCAGTTGTGATACCAGCCACGACTATAACAGGCCAGCATTTCAAGCACTCAGGTTGTGGGTATGTTAGAAGCCAATGAATTTTCTCTGCATATTAGGCAGGAGATACAGAGA